TGTTGCATGGTCCATGTTGGATTGTAGAGCTAAGTCATGATTTGGTCCATTAATGGTGAATTGAAGCTCAATCTTTGCATGCATGTTTGAATTAATGAGTTTTGAGTTGAATTCATGGTATAATGGTGCATGCATGTTCATAATTTTGTGGTACCCCATGGGTTCATTTTGTTTTTGAAGGTTTGAACTCTTTTGAAACAGCATTAAAGCTTTGAAAATGATTTAAGATCATGCATGTTTGCATGTTCATATTGTTCTTGGAAAATGGCTTGAAATTGGGTTTGAATTAAACACCCTTGGGCTTTGATTTCTCAAATTGAGTTTTGAATCGTGTTATTCCATGTGTTTATAAGAGTTTTCCAGAAAATGAGTCCAAGAGGATCGGTTTTGAGTTGTTAACAACTTGGTTTTGGACCTGGAGCTCGAATCTGGGATTTCCAGATTCCAGTCGTCCGCTCGAACGGGGATAGTGCCGCTCGAGCGGGAAAATCGAGCTTCCAGCATCTTGCACTGTAGAACAGTACGCTCGAGCGGAGTATTGGGCGCTCGAGCGGAGGACTGGATGACACGCTCGAGCGGGCGTCGAGCGAGGATTTCCCCTATCCAGTACTTTTTGGTCCGCTCGAGCGGTATAAGGGACGCTCGAGCGGGGACCTTTGTTTGCCTGTACGCTCGAGCGGGGAAAACTTGCGCTCGAGCGGGACTCTGTTTTTCTGAAAATGCTTTTAAATGTACATCTTTGCATCCTCATCCCATTCTAGGCATTCTTAGGCCTAGTTTAAGACATTTTATTGAGGATATAGATGTAGAACACATCGAGGCAACTTAGGGATTAAGTTATTATCTTTCCCAGCTGTGTAGCTTAGTGTGTTCAATCTGTTAACTGTGTAGGGTTGGCGACTGGGGAGACACGCTCTAGTTTACTGTAGCCCAAACTCTGTGAGTAACGATTGTGTAAAGATATGTTCACAAATGACTATTTTCTGAACAACTGAACTGTACTGTTTACTGAACTGATATTGTTTATTGAATGAATGTATGTCCTTTATTTCTGAACTGTACTGTGGCATCCTTAGCACCTACTGTTTACTGTTACTGTTACAGAGATCTCTGTCGGTTCCCTCGTGGAGCCACTACTGTTTACTGACTGATGGCCATCATTACTGTTCGGTCTTTTAAGACCTACTGTTACTGATATGCTAATGGATGTACCACATATGACGGTTTACTGTACTGAACAACTGAAATACTGATTGAATTGAACTGTTTTCATTACTGTAAGGACATTCATTCTAAACCCCTTTACGCTTTATGTTATTCACTGGGCTTTAGCTCACTGCTCATATATATATGTAGGTGTACAGGCACCAGACCGCAGCTAGGAGCGTCAGGGTTACTCCAGTTTTGTCAAGCCAGCCTTTGTGCCTCACTGCGAGGTTCCGAGCCTAACTGTTAAGGCTTAGGGGTGTTTTAGAATTTCCCCCTTTTGTACTGTTTCACTGTATTGTATAGACTGACTGTTCACCGTACTGTTATCAAGGGATTAAGTCCCTGTACTGTGTGACTGTAAATTTTGTATAGACTGTACTGTTTGTGTATGCATGAATGCATGAAAATCTTTTTGGCATACAGACTGTTACAGCTCATTGGACATTGTTTAATTACTGTATTGGCTTCCGCCAGGCCCTGTACTCTGTTTTACTGTAGTACTGTTAAGCAGGCCTTCGGTAATCTCGGATTACTGGCTGGTTACGGTGCTAAACCCATAGGGCCGGGTTTGGGTCGTGACACTTCTTAACACTATGTATATATATATACAAAATACATAAACCTACAACCTCTCCATCAATGAACTAAATAATAATAGAGTAAGGATAAAGAACAAAAACAAAGAGAAGGAGAAAGATAGAGACCTACCACACTCCCAAAAGTTCTTCCTTGTTTGCAACCCTTCTTTTTTTTTCTTCTTCTTTTCTCTCAACCTCTCTCTCCCTGTGGCTGTTGTTGCGGTTGTTATATATTGTATTAGGCAACCTAGAGTTACTTTATATATCTAAACAAAAGGCTCTAAATTATTATCTCTTTATATTAGTTTATTTTCTAACCCATTAATTTAAATAAAATATAACTATTATTATAACAAAATATACTTACTAACTTGCCCTCTATTTTTTTTAAAAAAAATAATAAATCTTGCCTCTAAATTAAATATTTTCACCATAAATTTATTTTAAGTTTAAAATTAATTAAAAGACTCTCCAAATATTTAATTTGCACTTAGGATTCACCATCAAAATATTTGAGATTGTAAAATTATTATTATTTAATTATTTACTTGATTTATATATTCAGGTTCTCACAATAGAATATAAATGCTTTTTTTAATATACTTTTAAGTTTGATACGTAACAACATTTTGCAATAACAAGGGTTAGTTTGGATATTGATTATTTTAGTTGGTTTTTTTAATTATTTTAACTTGACTAAAAAAATTGTGTTTGGGATGATAATTTATATTTTTTTGTTGTTGATTTGATAATTGTGATAGAAAAGTGAAATAATTATGCGTTGAATATGACATTTTATCTTTTTGATTATTTTAATCTATTTTGTCTTTATTAAGTATTTTAACCTAAACCTAACTTCCCAAACAACCTCTAAACATAATAGATGCAATGGCATTCAAATTTCTTTACAATTTTCATAAATGAATCAAATTTTTAAATGTACTTAGCCAAAGTGTTGATTCAGGTAGGAGAAGCCAGACTAATTATAAAAATATTATTTTAAATTTTTATTAATGAGTTTAATTTTACTGGTTCATGGTAATTTTGAAACTTTTTAAAATTTAAGAATAAATTATAGTTTAATGTCGTTAACCAAAAAATTATAATTTAATGTTAATAAACTTATGCACAACCCTCAATTCATACTATGATTTTTGCTTCAATTGAAAGATGATTTTTTTTTTTAATGAATATTTTCAATTTATAACATGAACATGAGTTTATAAATTAAATTGAAAAGGTTTAACTTCTAGCAAAAAATTATCATAAATATTATAGCAAAAACTAATGATTAAATGACACATGTGTTTTTATATTTTTATAAACTAAAAAAATTGAAAATATTGTCTCCGGTAATACATAATATTTTTCAAAATAAGAGTTTATTTCTAAAAAGAAATTAAAACTAAATATTTTTAATATAAAGAATTCAAAAATACAATAGTGTAATATATCCATGTGTATCTAAATATTAGGATAATTTTTCTAAGGTTCCTGATATTAAAATTTTATAAGATAAAAAACATACAATATTTTCATAGTAGTTAATGTCTCTCAACATTTTTATAGAAAAATTTGACTCAAAGAAATTTTGCCCTACTCAGAGAAATTTCAATTTTCATAAAGAAATTTTGAAATTTCTTTGTGAAATCAAAGAAATTTTTCTGAGTTGAGATCGAAATTTCTCTGAGTTAGATAAAATTTCTTTGAATCGAATTTTTTCTGTAAAAATGTTAAGGGACCTTAACTAATAAAAAAACATCTTGAACCTTTCTTACTATACAAAGTTGAAAAGGGATGTTTTACTAATTTCTCCTAAACATTACCATATTGATAATAAATCAACAAAAATAAATGTGGTGTGAAAGAATAAAGCTATATATACCAATTGGTATAGTAATTAGTGTACTAAAGGGTGATGTGACATAATTTTAGAGATTTTAGATCTTTGTAATTTATATAATGGGTGGGTCCATAGTTTTGAAGTGACAGTGTCCAAGCACATGTTAATATACTGATTAATATACTAAATGGTGCATGTAGCACCACAGTTGAAATTAATGACAATTAAAATTTTAATTTACCTTATGAACTAAATAATTAATTATTAATTGTATTTAAAATGTAATAACCAATGATTAAATGACATGAGCATTTATGTATTTTAGAAATTCAAAACAATAAAAAAATTGTGTTGAGAGTTTCAAACTCAAAAGGCTTCACAACGTTTTTGCTTATATTATATAATTTGATTACAAAATAAAATACAAAGATAAAATTCAGACATTTTATAAGACTCATTTTATATAAAATGATTAAGTATCCTTAAATTTTTTTAAAATAAATAGCCACAACATTTTCTACCACTAATGTAGGCCTAACTCCTATTATGACTCACATTGTGTTTTGTGACGTGAGAAGTTATTCATCGGTATTGAAAGTTTTTAGAAATATTGTAAGTGATAGTAGAGATATGACAAACACCTTTATATTAAGAGATGGATAAACAATAATGTAGGCCTAACTCCTATTATGACTCACATTGTGTTTTGTGACGTGAGAAGTTATTCATCGGTATTGAAAGTCTTTAGAAATATTGTAAGTGATAGAAGAGATATGACAAACACCTTTATATTAAGAGATGGATAAACAATAAAGAGACTTGAGAAACTTGATCTCATGATAACGAATAACTAGTATACGGAAAGATGCGGTCCACACATTTGTTCGGAAAATTACTTTTTGTGATCAAATTTCCAATGTAGACTTGATCAAGCCAACTACCAGTGGTGATAGGAAACATTGGAGCGGAATTTTTAAATTTATTACTTTAATTACAAAATATAGAAAAAAAAAATCAAAAATCTAGGATTTGACTCCATTAACAAACTAAATCATATATTTATAATTATTTTAATTAAAATTCTCAACTTTTAAAATGTTATCAAGACAGTAGGCCACATTATTGTTTTGATTAAAATTAGAAGCTTAACAAATGATAATTGCAATGGAAATACCATGTTACTTAATGTCATATTATTGTCATTTAAATGAAATAAATGAACAACTCATTTATGTAATTTTCTAGTCTAATTACTATCATTTGATATTTAAACTCACATTAATTGATGATTCACAAATCATTTCAAGAAGAAAAAAAAGCTGTTGCAGCAATAGAGAATGAGGTGGATTTATAGAAATTTGTGTGGTAACTATAACTTTTTTTTATCAAGAGAAATTTTCATTAAATAAAGCCAAACCGCACTTACAAAGGGATTTATGCCAACAAGATATAAGCTTACACCAAACAAAGTAAAAAAAATACTCAAAACAAAGTCCAAGGAGAAGCTATGAATAAATCAAGACTCAAAGCTCGCAAAACATAGGCTACATCCACAGAGAAGGTAAGCTGTAATTACACCATCAATGGAACCCAAGCCACACAACCAAACACAAATAAACAAAAAGATAACAAAACCAAAAAAACCCTTCAATCCCAAAGGCAGCGGTGGGAAGACGGCGACAGAAACGACGGCCGAAGGCAGATATAGTGGAGATGAAGAAATGGAGAAGCGGTGGCAGGGCCGTGGAGGTTGGAGACTGGGAGGTGGCATATTTAAAGGGTAGTGGAAGATTCGATGGCAGTGAGGTAGTGACGGCGCTAGAGTGAGGTGGAGGAGAAGGGAGAAGGCAAATCCGGTGAAGAAATGTCTCACAAAGACAGAGAGGGTTGGAAAGACAAAGTTTCCAAGGTTATTTAAGCAAAAAGGCAAAGAAAAGGAAAGAAGAAAATAGGAGTTAAAGGAGGAAGAGGTCGAAGCCGAAGCCCCCTCCTCCATGGTAACTATAGCTTGAAGACTACAATCGACCGCTATTAGAAAAAGTAATAGAGCCATGGGTACAAGAAACCAAAGATGAAGAAGCATTCACCATAGGTGTAACAAATGTTGGCACGGGCATCTCTGTTGGGAGATTCGGCAATGGAGCTTCAAAATTAAGCACTTGAATTGCTTGCCTAATTGAAGGTCGGAGATTGTGATTGGGGTAAGCACACCAGAGCCCAACAATCATCAAACGTTCCATTTGTTCTTGAACAAACTCTGTACGTATCTTCGGATCTGCCGCTTCAAGAAATCTACTGGTACCATAGAGATCCCAAACCCACTGCACCAATATCATTTGACTTTCTGGGACCTTGGAGTCAATGGATTTTCTTCCACAAGCTATCTCTAATAGCACAATTCCAAAACTATAAATATCTGATCCTTTACTAGCTTTGTGTGTAACTAGGTATTCAGGTGCCACGTAACCCATAGTCCCTGCAAAACCTGTTGTGTGCAAAGCTTTGTCGTGGTCGACAAGCCTAGCTAATCCAAAATCCCCTAGTTTAGCATTGAAATTTGAATCTAGCATGACATTGCTTGATTTTATATCCCTATGCAATACACATTGTTCCCATTCTTCGTGTAGGTAAAGTAATGCTGAGGCCAAGTCTTGAGCAATTTCGTACCTCATCGCCCATGTCAACAAGCTTTTTTCTTCGAAGAGATGGTAATCTAAGCTTCTATTTTCCATGAAGTCATAAACAAGTAGCAATTCTCTTTTCTCATGACACCAACCAAGTAGTTGCACCAAATTTTTGTGCCTCAACCGACTAATGATCTTCACTTCAGATGCATACTCCTTTCTTCCCTGTTTTGATCCCTTTGATATCCTCTTCACAGCAACATTGGAGTTGGATTCCTTCAAAAAACCTCTATAAACCTCACCAAATCCTCCCCGTCCAAGTATATCCGCAAATTTATTTGTTGCACGAAGCAATTCACCATGCGAAAACTTCTTTGGCCCAGTACCTACCTCAAAGTCATTATCCATGGACATATTAGATGCAACCTCCTCATCTGTCCTTTTCATCCACAAGACAAACACAAACAAAGCCAACCCACAAACCAAACCAAATGATCCTACAGTCAATCCCACTACTAGTGGCTTTTTGTTTCTTAGACTTGGACTGAGATTGGGACTTGAATTGAATGACCATGATTTAATAATATGTTTCTCAGAATATATTCCTGTTCCAGCTGAGAAGCCTATTGTAACCCATTCTGGTAAGTAATTCCTTAGATCAATTGGATAACTAAGGACACTTTTAACACTAGTATTATTTGTATATCCAGTGAAAACAACACTCAAATTTTTAGAACTAGAATCATAACTAATCCAGGCTTTGTTATCTTTTCCATACGTTATGTTGTTGTACCAAGTTGCAGTAGCACTAGATGTGAGAGAGTTGATATTGATACCTACGTGAGTTTCCGGTGGATCCCATTCATTTGGATAGGTATCAAACTCCACAGCAACAAATTGATTCTGTGAGGGGGGTTCCTTTGGAAGACCCAGGTAGCCAGCCTTGGTTAAACTGGATGGGGAATCGTGAGAAATGAGGAAGAATGTAAAACCATCTGCAAATTTCGAGCTTCGTTCTGAATCAATATCAAACAAGAAAGAGGTGTTGAAATCCGTCAGTGTTCCAGAAGCTTTGTCCCCAAGGTGAAATTCATCTTTACATGTGGCTCGACCGACTTTCCACACTTCGTTTGGAGTGATTTGGATGCCGTCGTTGGAAAAAATAGCATCTCCTATTATGGTGACATTTTCAAGCATTTGATTAACATTGGTTAAGTCGAAACTCAGTGCATTTGCATGAAGGGTGAAGTAGTAAAGGGTGATCACAAAGTAGAAGAAGAAAAAAGAACAAAGGAAAGTATGTGATCGGAGGGTGGGATTGCAAGAGTTGCAGACTGCCATATCGATGGTTGGTTGTGAGGAAAATTAATTCTTGATCAGTGAGTTTGGAAGTATATATGTAACTCCATATATAAATTAAATAATTATAGACTTATGGGAGACGTTATAATGTGTAGTCTTAAAAAAGGGGTATATATGGTAGTATGTAATTCACAATTTTTTTTTACTGAGTTAATTAAATTTTTTACTTTTAAATTATTGTTAAATTATCTATTTAATTCTTGAATTATCGGGTAGACTATCGATTTAATCTATTATGTTTTTAAAATATTTAATTCAAACTTATTTAGTTTTTAAAAATTTACAAAAATAAAATATAAATTTATATATAAATTGGTAAAACATCTTACCTAATTAAATATTATAAATTAATAAAAGACTCTACTTATAAATATATATTATTCATTAAACATATATCTTAACTACATTATTAAACTATTCACTCACTCTCTAAAGTAACAAATACTCAATACACATAAATAAATCTTACTTTTTTTTGTATTTTTTATCATTTAAAACACTTTAACATACTTTTTTTTTTTTTAAATTCCATTATTGAAGATGTCTAAATTACAGACTCTATGTAACTTCTAACTCTATCACTATAATACAATTTTTTAATCCCACCATGCTCTAAAGCGCAGAATTACCAAGAAAGACTTTGACTATATTCTTTGTATAACTAACTCTATCACTTTAATACAATTTTTTAATCCCACCATTAGAGATTCTCTAAATTGCAGATTCTCTGTACAATTATGATTCTACCATTACCGAGAAAGACTTTCACATACAATGTATATTTTTTAGGAGTTGGATTTTTGTTATGCCTTATGACACACCAGGTTGTTGTGAAGTTTATTGAGAGTGTATTTGATTCTACCATTACCAAGAAAACTTTCACATACAATGTATATTTTATTGGAGTTGGATTTTTGTTGTGCCTTATGACACCAGGTTGTTGTGAAGTTTACTGAGTGTATTTGATTCTACCATTACCAAGAAAACTTTCACATACAATGTATATTTTATTGGAGTTGGATTTTTGTTGTGCGTTATGACACACCAGGTTGTTGTGAAGTTTATTGAGAGCGTATTTCGAGTTTTTTTTTTATAATTTAAATTGTTCATATTATAATATTCGTTGAGTAGATTATTTATGAAAAAAATTAAGTAAATTAAATATTAAAAAAAAAAATTTGTTAACATGATTTTAATAATATTTTAAAAATAATTAAGACTTGATCATGGGGTTACCATTATCTGATTAACTTTTGTTAGAATTTACCATCACCTACCACCACTACCACCTCACCTACTCCACTAAACCTAACCCACTACACCATTATCACCATCCACTACACACCATCCACTACACCTACATCTATATAAGGAACCATTTGTAATAGACAGAATAACAATCAATTCATCAATCAATAATATACATCAATTTTTTTACAACTTTATTTTTTATATAAATAATATAATCGACAAATTTTACAATATGAATTGTTCGAATTATCAAAATATACTTAGAAAATACCTCTAAAGTTCCTCACAACAACATGATTGTTGTGCCTTATGACACAACAACAATCTTCAATCCTATTTTATATAATAATCAGTGCATGTTCATGCCTGAAGGTATGGTACAAATAAAAAAAGTGAATAAAAAAGGAAAAATAAAAAAAAATAAGGAGAAAAATAAAAAAAAATAAAAAGGAAAGAGGGAGGAAAGTGGGTAAGAGAGGGTGAGAGAGAGAGAGAGAGAGAATGCATTAGTGAACAAAAAAAAAAAAGGAGGAAAAAGAAGATGAGAGAGTGGGTAGGAGTAGGGGTGTGCGAGGTACGATTCAGGCGATTTGAAAGTAAAATTATAAATTAAATTGCGGATTAGCAGTTTAACCGATTGACAAATTGCGGTTTGGGCAATTTTTGAGGAATTGGCAGATTGAATAATATTTTAACTAATTATCATACATTTGCATAATAAGTTAGTTGGGCAAGATTAGACCAAGAATACCAAATTTGAATATTTTTATTTTGGGTAGTGTTCACTCTTTTGCCTTTTTATTTCTCCATATTTTGAATTTTGATGTGAGGTTAGAACCGTTGGAAAGCTTATTTTCGGGGCTTCAATTTAGACACAAAATTGACCATATTTGTCACAACCTAAACCCGGTACCCAAAGGCTTGGCGTCGTAACAAGATAAACATAAAATAATTCAAATAATTTTGTAGTCATAGCCCAAGCGTTTAAATTAAATAAATTAAAAAAAAAATTGGGTACCAAATATTTACTAAAAGGAAACAAACATAGTCATTCGAGCTTTATTGTATTACAAGAGTTCAAACAAAAACAGATAGAAATCTTAAAAAAAGAAATTAAAAAAAACAACACAGCGATTCATTTCTCATCTTGATCTCGCTAAATCTCATCACCTGAAAAGCGTAACAGCTATAAGAAAATAGCAGAGTAAGAAATATTATATTTTGAGTATAGGGACACAAAATAGCCATGGATAGTTATTTAAGCTAAAACATTAACATAATTTGAGTTGAATACACAAATTAATTAAGTGACAGAAACTGAAATAAATAACTATAACCACGGTACAGAATAGAACAGAAAAGGGGTCACTAGAGTGATAATGGGTTAATGGATCCATGACAAACAGGGGACCACAAGGTGGTCAAACAGGGGCCTATGGTTATTTAAATCCCCCAAGACATGGGACTCCCATGGTGGTACTTATAGAAAATAATTGTTTACAAGATCATTGTCAAATAATTTCTAAAATTTAAACAAACATATCCATGCGTTTTAATTTAAGCAAATAGAGTTCAGAAAATAATCCACGTAATTAAAACATTAACCTAACCATAAAACATAAATTATACAAAATAAATTGTGGTAACTCAAAACATTCGTAAAATATATTATAATAACTCAAGACATGTAAAAAACACATTATAATAACTCAAGATATAATAAAATTCACATTATTATTTCCTTGCACTCCCTCTATTTATCCGAGCCTTTCTATTTTGTCACATACTGCTTCCTTCCTACTTCGTTGGTTTTCCTATCTCCTATGGAGCCCCTATTTATAAGCTTCCAACTTGTTGCCATGCAAGATTCCCTGAGCCAAATATGGACACGTTGCTTTGTGCTGGCTTTAAGGAGTAATGCCACCTGTAGGTAGGGATGGCAATTTGAAACCGGCCCAACGGGGACCCGACCCCCCGACCCCGATCACAATGGTTTTTCCCCGAAAAATATCCCCGTGGGGACGGGGATGGTATTTGAAATTAAATCCCCGATTAGTTTCGGACCGGGGACGGTGATAAGTGCCAATCCCCGGCCCCGGCCCGGCCCGGCCCCGTCTCTCCCCCGACATATTATATATATATAAATATAATATAATATAATATGCTTTCTATTATATATATAACATATTGAGGCTTTATCTCTGATTCGGCTTTATCTCTTTCATTAATATCTACTCACTCTCTCTCTTCCCTTTTCTCTCTCTTTTTTCACCTCCTCAAGGTTGTATTACACTTCACTGAACCCCTCCTCTCTCTCCCCTCTACTCTCTCTCACTCTCACTGACTCTCACTCTCGCACCTCTTCTCCTCACCATCGCTGTACGCGACGTCTTCTCCTCGGTGCCACCGCCGCTGTCCGCGAGGCCGGAGTCGCCGTCCAGCTCATACCTCTGCTTCACCTTCGTCGACTCTGCACCTCGGTCCAGCTCGCACCTTTGCACCGCGGATCTGAGATCTATTATTGTCGCTTCACCTCCTCCGTCGTCCATCACCGTGAATCTGAGATTTGTTGATGTTGAAATTTTGTTGATCATTTTGTTAATATGAGATCTGTTGATGTTGTTGATGAAGATTTGTGTTGTTTTATTTATTTATTTATTTATTTTGGCCAGGGAGTTTTCGGGGTCGGGGAAACCCAATCCCCGTTAGGAAACGGGGACGGTGACTGTGATAAGTTCCCCGTCGGGGATCGGGGCCGGGGCCGGGCTCGGGGATTGGGGACGGGGAGGGTGATCCCCGGCCCCGCCCCGCCCCGTTGCCATTCCTACCTGTAGGTGGCCTTGGGTTTTTTTTTCTTTTTTTCTTTTTAAATTTAATTTAACCTTATGAAGTTACCAAGGGCCAAATCAACCTTCGGCTCACAACTAACTTGGCCCACAGAAATCTAACATGGTTTTGTTGTTGTTCTTTTTTTTTTAATTTATTATATATATATATATAATAATTCTATTTATTGCAGTATTGAATAAAATAAAATTTATAAATTCGGGCGTCACATTTCTTCTCTCCTTAAAAGAAGTTTGTCCCCAAACTTGACGTACCCTGGTTTTCGCAGAGGTGTGGGTATTTGGCCCACATTTGGATTTCAGCTTCCCATGTCGCTTCTTCAATGCAATGGTTTCTCCATAAGACTTTTACAAGAAGTATAGTCTTGTTTCGAAGGACTAGGTCACGGTGATCAAGAATTTGTATAGGTTGTTCTTCATAAGAGAGGTCTTCTTGAACTTTCAAGTTCTCATAATCGACAACATGCTCTGGATCTCAAAGATATCGATGAAGCATCGAAACGTGAAACACATTATGGACATTGGACAGTTCAGGTGGAAGCATAAGGTGATATGCCACAGGACCAATTCTTTCGAGTATCTCGAATGGGCTGATGTAACGTAGGTTTAACTTTCCTCGCTTTCCAAATCGGATAACCTCTCTTATTAGTGAGATCTTTAGGAACACAAGATCGCCTATTTGAAATTCTAAGTCCTGCCTTCTTGTATCTGCATAGCTTTTTTGGCGGAGTGCGAATTCGCTGTTGGATGAGTTGAATTTTATCACTTGTGATTTGCACGATTTCGGGGCCTAATAATTTTCTGTCTCCGACTTTTGTCCAACACAGAGGTGATCGACATCTCCTTCCATACAGTGCCTCGTATGGTGCCGTTCCAATACTTGCATGGTAGTTGTTATTATATGCGGACTCTACCAAAGGTAGGTGATCATCCCAATTACCTTTGAGGTCTAGCACACACACACGTAACATACCTTCCAAGGTCAAGATTGTCCTTTCAGATTGCCCATCAGTTTGCGGGTGATAAGTTGTGCTAAACTTTAGAGTGGTTCCCAAAGCTTCTTGTAATTTGTTCCATAAGTGAGACACGAAGCGGGGGTCTCTATCAGATACGATTGAAACTGGGGTGCCATGCAAATGAATGATTTCCTTAATGTATAGAGTGGCGAACTTAGAGAGGGAGTACATGTTCCTGATTGGTAGAAAATGCGCCGACTTCGTCAATTGATCTACAATAACCCATATTGCATCATTCTTCGAGACTGATTGCGGTAGCCCGACCACGAAGTCCATAGTAATATGTTTCCATTTCCATTCGAGAATAGGGAGTGGTTGCAACATTCCTGCAGGTCTCTGATGTTCTGCTTTAACTTGTTGACAATGCAGACATTTGGAGACATGGCTTGCTATGTCTTTCTTCATTCATGTCCACCAGAAGTGCTCCTTCAGATCGTGATACATCTTCGTATTGCCAGGGTGGATCGCAAACCTCAAGCTATGAGCTTCTACCAATATCCTTTTCTTGAGTTCTGGAAGGTCGGGTAAGCAAATTCGATTCCTAAATTTTAGTATCCCATTGCTTATTGTGAGGTCAAGATCGGGCGTGCTTCCTTGTTCTTGGTATTTTTTCTTCAAAAGTTTATCTTCACATTGGCAGATTCTAATTTCTTCAATCAACTCGGGTTCCACGATTATGTTGGTGAGCAGTCCATTGATCTTGCGGGGAACGAGGGTACATTCCAAACTTTTGGTTATTTTTCGACTTAATGCATCTGCTACTATGTTAGCTTTGCCGGAATGGTGATGGATCTCTATATTGTAGTCATTCATAAATTCTAGACATCGTCGTTGCCTCATATTCAATTCCTTTTGTGTAAACAGATATTTGAGACTCTTGTGATCAGTGTAAATCTCACAAGTTGCACCGTAGAGATAATGATGCCAGATCTTGAGGGCGAAGATCACCGCAGTCAATTCTAGATCATGAGTTGGGTAGTTCTTTTCGTGAGTCTTTAGTTGGCGGGAGGCATAAGCAATGATCTTCTCATTTTACATAAGAACGTAACCCAAACCATTGTATGAGGCATCGCTATAAATTACGAACCCTTCTGTTTTTGCAGGGAGTGCTAGTATCAAAGCTGTCACGAGTCTATTCTTCAATTCTTGGAAGCAACGTTCTTGCTTGTCGGTCCATTCAAAAGATGTGTTCTTTTGAGTTAGCTGGGTCAAGGGTGAGGCTATCTTCGAGAAATCTTGCACGAAGCGCCGGTAATAGCCGGCTAGGCCCAAGAAACTTCGAATCTCAGATACGTTAGTGCGTCGTGGCCAATCCACGATTGCTGCAACCTTTTGGGGATCAACTGAGATGCTATCTTTGTTAATAACGTGGCCGAGGAAGTGTACACTAGTGATCCAGAATTCGCATTTCTTCAACTTGGCATAAAGCTTGTGATTACATAATGTCTGTAGAACTCTTCGCAAGTGGTGCTCATGATCTTCTAGCGATTTGGAGTATATAAGAATGTCGTCAATGAAGACAATGACGAACTCGTCAAGATAGGGTTTGAACACTCGATTCATGAGGTCCATGAAGGCCGCTGGAGCATTTGTGACGCCAAATGGCATGACGAGAAACTTGTAGTGCCCGTAACGAGTTCTGAAGGCAGTCTTTTCGAAGCTTTCTGTTTTGACTTTTAGTTGATGGTAACCAGAACACAAGTCAATTTTTGAGAATACTTGGGCGCCTTGCAGTTGATCAAACAAGTCGTCAATTCAGAGTAGAGGGTATCGGTTCTTGATGGTGACTTTGTTAAGCTCCTGGTAATCGATGCATAGCCTCATTGTACCATTCTTTTTCTTTACGAACAGCACCAGAGCTCCCCATGGTGAGATATTTGGTCGGATGAACCCTTTGTCCAGTAGTTCTTGAAGTTGGGTTTTTAGTTCTTTCAATTCTATCATGGACATGCGGTAAGGGGTCTTTGTGACTGGTTGTGTACTAGGTTGGGTTTCAATGGTGAATTCGATTTCTCGATCAACTGGGGTACCAAGCAGGTCTTCAGGAAATACATTCGAGAATTCTCGAATCATGGGGATTGCAAGTGTGGGGGTCTCTTGTTAAGTATCAATCACATAACAGATACAACCACAACAACTCTTTCTTAGCAGTCGTTGAGCTGTCATGAAGGATATAATACATGGAGGGAGAGAGGCTCCAATTCCTTCGAAGATAAGCTCGAGTTGGTTTGGTGACCGGAGGAAGACCTTTTTGGCTTTACAATCGATAGAGGCACGGTTGGCAGCTAACCAATCCATTTCTAAGATCACATCAAATGTACTAATGCAAAAGGGAATCAAATCTACATGTAAGGTTTCACCTTTTACGGATATAGTACAAGATTTGTACACATTAGTACTAAGGGCGGAATTACCAGAAGGAAAAGACACATACAATACATATCCTAAGGGTTCGGGTGTTGATGTTAACTTGGTAGCAAAGTGTGGTGTAACAAAAGAATGAGTTGAACCAAAGTCAAAGAGAACATGGGCTAAGTGACCACAAACAGAAAGTATACCTGACACAACATTCTCAGTAGCTTCTGGGTTTCCAGGTACCAAGGCAAAAGTTCTTCCTTGGCGTTTTTGGTCCTTTCTCACTCCTCTAGGTATTGCGGGTTTTCAAATTGGTTTAGAGGGGCCGGCTGCAGGATTGGCGAGCTTTGGACAATCTCTCAGCAAATGGCCAACTTGGCCACATCTAAAGTATGCTTCCGTATCTTGACAGCATCGTCCCCAATAAGTCCTTCCACAGGTGGTGCAAGCTGGAATGGTGCCACCTCTAGGATTTGTAGGACCTTGATTGCTTGGACCGGTTGAATTGGTTGTGCATGTATTTACCTTCTTGGGAGGCGCGACACCGGGCCTTCTGTTATCTCTTTCTCAAAATCGCTTCATCTGGCTTAGTTCCCCAGAGCGCAAGGCTTTAATCCCTTTTTCTGTAATGTAAGCTCGATCTACCACCGCTGCATAGGTTGGTAGTTTCAAAACTTCCAGTCTGTCCTTAATTTTAGGATCCAATCCTGCTTTAAATTTTCTGGCTTTTCGAGCTTCGGTGGGGATGACGTATGTCGTGAATCGGGCCAGTTGTGTGAACTTGCTCTCATATTCGGCTACTGTCATAGTTTTTTGCCTTAGATGTATGAATTCCGACGCCTTTTGTTCCCGCAGTGAATCTGGGAAGTATTTTTCATAGAATACCTCCAAGAATCTGGCCTAAGTCACAATATATTCTTTACCTCCAAGACTCTGGCCCAAGTCACAATATATTCTTTCTCCAGGGTAAGTAGCCACCATTCTTGTGCATCGCCTTTGAAGGTGAATGTGGTGAAAGTCACTTTCTGTCTTTTTGTGCAAGGTAGCGCACGAAAAATTTTCTCCATATCTCTGACCGAAGCTTCTGCCACCAGTGGGTTTGTGCTGCCGGTAAATATGGTAGGTCTCAAGTCCTGGAACTGTTTTATAGTAGTTGGCTCTTCTTGTCGTTTGGGCAATCCGCTGTTAACATTGGTTTGTAGGGCTTGCAAAAAACTAGTAACTGCTCTTTCCATAATTTGCTCCATTGGAATGGTACACTGGCTGATGATCCGGTTTCATTTCCTTCGTTGGCCATTACTACAAGGTAAAATGATATAAGCGTGAGATCACATTGATACAACTTTGATACAATGTCATATATAACATATTAGTTTTACTAGTTTTACTATCACATTAATATTACCGCATTAATACCACATAAAACATCATATATACATTATCGTTACTATACATAAGGCATTAGTCCAGCCGTCAAGAGTTAATGTCTAATCCTACAGATACAAAATTGGATTAGACTAATCATAGTCAGGTCACAAAAAGGATCTCCTGGTCGGACATCCTGAAGGGACCGTTAGGCCACCACCATGAGAACTGGCTCCGAAAAACCGGCCCATGAAATAATCCCGCGAACTCACTCTGCATGAGAGATTCGAACTCTCACCCACTGTGCTCTATTCCAAAGCAGCTCCATACCACCTAGACTATGTAGACAGGAACACCATGATCATAACTCCAAAACTCCCGTCCGGTAATTTGTGCCGGTACCTCCAAGTATGATGCACTATCGGTGAAGTCCACAACTGGGGTATGGACAACATGATGTGGAAGAGGTGTCGTGGTGCGGATGTGACTGCTAGGATACACGTGTCCCCTCCTCTCCGCAAAACCTAGAGGTAGAGGTGCGACCAGCAAATGTGGCTGATCTAGGTCTAGAGCAAGACCAACAATGCGGGTCGGCCCTATGTATCTCTCACGAGTGCTGCCTCGGCTAAGTTTCCAGAATAAGAAATCCTCATCGGGGTCGGCCTGCAAATACACGGGTCGTCCCATGAGTCGGTCAAGTGCGAGGTGGGCTTGCCTGATAAGACTCTCCGAATCACACTAGTAAGTTTGGAACAAGATGAACTCCTGGAGGCTCGAACCAAAACAACTCCACAAGATTGGCCATTTCCTACGACACAGGAAAACTTGACCTAGACATTATAACATGATTTATTTGTGTTAGGCATAACACATAATATCAAATAATACAAGGTTAATAAAATTATTATTATTATTATTATTTTTTTAATCCTTTGCTTGTATCTTATATTATAATATTTTTTTTCTTGTATTCTGATGAAACCTATTAAATTTTTTTTTACTGGTGCATATTATCACTAAATTTCTATAATGATCTTCTAGCTTTTTTAAATTGTGTTCGTTAATTCGTTTCTTATATAAGCTCTGTTTGGTAGAGCTGTGGGAAAGTGTTTATAGGTTATGCCTAAACAGCTTATAGTTTATAACTATGAACATAAGTTGATTTCTGACTCATTCTTAAAGCATTTCCTGTTCCACTCAAAGAATAAACTGATTTTTGATTTTTAAAAAGTTATAAGTTAAACCAAATACATCAAAATAACTTAAATTAAACTGAAAGTTGAAATAAACTGATTATAATTTCTGCCAAACAGGCACATAAAAAACGACTCCCAAGTCCCAACACGAAGTTTGTCAAGTCTATTGACCAAATTTTATCTATTTTGATTGGCAAAGGTAGGGACTTAAACCTGTGATGTGACATCAAGGCTGAGGGACAAGACACACGACCTGACCTAAAAGGCCTGTTCATTGTTTGTAAATGTATCCAACTGTGAATTGTGACCTTAAAACAAAAGTTAGTGGTTCGATCCATTCCAGTATTCTTTTAAAAAAATTCCTACTTTTTGCTAGAGAAGAAATAATCAAAGCTTTGTTTTATACACAATTTCCTTTTTTTTTTTTTATAAATAATTTTCAATTTAAATAATGTGAAAATTATACACAAATTATTATTATTATTATTATTATTATTATTATTATTATTATTTTAAAAAACTATTGCTTTGTTACTACTTTTGTCACAATCCAAACTCGGTATCCAAAAACTTGACGTCGTAACAAAATAAACATAAAATAATTCAAATAATTTTGTAATCATAGCCCAAGCGGTTAAATTAAATAAATTAAAATAAAATAATTGAGTACCAAATATTTAATAAAAGGAAACAAATATAGTCATTTGAGCTTTATTGTATTACAAGAGTCCAAACAAAAACAGATAGAAATCTTAAAAAAAGAAATTAAAAAAACAACACAGCGATTCATTTCTATCTTCATCCTGCTAAACCTCGTCACCTGAAAGGGGTAACAGCTATAAGAACATAGCAGAGTAAGCAATATTATATTTTGAGTATAGAGACACAAAATAGCCATGGATAGTTATTTAAGCTAAAACATTAACATAATTTGAGTTGAATACACAAATTAATTAAGTGACAGAAACTGAAATAAATAACTATAATCACGGTACAGAATAGAACAAAACAGGGGTCACTGGAGTGACAATCAGGACAGGGGTTAATGGATCCATGATAAACAAGGGACCACAAGATGGTTAAACAGGGGCCTATGGTTATTTAAGTCTCCCAAGGCATGGGACTCCCGTGGTGGTACTTACTGAAAATAATTGTTTACAAGATTATTGTCAAATAATTTTTAAAATTTAAACAAACATATCCATATGTTTTAATTTAAGCAAATAGAGTTCAGAAAATAATCCACGTAATTGAAACATTAACCTAAGCATAAAACATAAATTATATAAAATAAATTATTATAACTCAAAACATTCGTAAAATATATTATGATAACTCAAGACATATAAAAAACACATTATAATAACTCAAAATATAATAAAATTCACATTATTATTTCCTTGCACTCCCTCTATTCATCCGAGCCTTTCTATTTCGTCACGTAATGCTTCCTTCCTACTTCGTTGGTTTTCCTACCTCCTATGGAGCCCCTATTTATAAGCTTCCAACTTGTTGCCATGCAAGATTCCCCAAGCCAAATATGGACACGTTGCTTTGTGCTAGCTTTAAGGAGTAATGCCACCTGTAGGTGGCCTTGTTTTTGTTTTTTTTTTTTTTAAATTTAATTTAACCTTATGAAGTTACCAAGGACCAAATCAATCTTCGGCTCACAACTAACTTGGCCCACAGAAATCTAACACGATTTTGTTGTTGTTTTTTTTTTAAAAAAATTTATTTATTATATATATATATATTTTTAATAATTCTATTTATTACAGTATTGAATAAAATAAAATTTATAAATTCCGGCGTCACAATATTCCGTTTCCGGACAAAGGAGATACGCCTGTTTGAAGTCACTTAGCAAAAGTTGTCTGGTCAAATCTGCACGAGCGGAAATTTGAATTCCGCACGAGCTGATTTTGCGAGAAAGCCATTTTTTTTCCTGAGTTGATCCGCATGATTGGTTTTAAAATCCGCACAAGCAGATTTTGCGCGTCCTAGACATTGATTTATGTGCCATTTTCACTCAAATCAGATCCCTCTTTCTTTTTGACCATTTCTCATCACTCATTCTCTTTCTCTCTCTAACTTCTCTTTTCTCTCCCTTCTCTCTAAACTCTCACCAAATTGCACATTTTCTTCGATCTACAAAGATCAAACGAGATTTTGATACTAGTTCCTTGTACAAAAATGACGAGCATCTCGAGGGCTACGTTTTGACCGATGGTAATCAAATTCAATCAAAGTTGATTTTTAGAGTATTCTTCTCTTCTCTCTTTGAGGTAGGGGTTTCTTTGCTCCTTTTTAATATCTCGTTATAGATAGGCATGTGGTAATTTTTGTTGCATTAAAAACTTGATTTGCTAGGTATTTTTGAAAAGCATATGATGAGGGTTAGGATTTTATGATCTAGAGTTAAATCTTGTGTTTTATTGTCAATATATGAGATTGTATATTTGAGGAAAATGTTTAAAAAGATTAGAGTAAAAAGTCCTAATTAATTGTTTATGCGTTATGAGAAAGAGGGAAAAATTGATGATTTGATTTTATTTGAACCACATGGTTGTGTATTACAAATTTGAAAATGGGAATGTAAGAAAATAAAGAAAGTCATCATGAAATTTAATTTGTGTTAATTGTTATCTATGATTTTATAATTGTTAAGTTGTAATAATTTTCGACAAATCAAAATTTTGGAGAAATAAAAAGGGTGTTGATAAATGTTGTGTGCATGAATTTTTTTTGAATTGATTAATCTCATTTATGAGGATTGTGATAAAAAGCCCCAAATCCTTTGGTTGTTTATTTGTTTGAGAGATGAGATTCATTTGTGTTACATATGTGTTGGATTATGAAAATAAATTACTAGTTGAGTTTTGATAATTAATGAGAAAGATATGACGATTTGTTGTGTGTATTAAGAGTTTGGAGAGAAGAGAAAATAAATTTTGGAAATCAACAAAACATTTATATACTTTTGTGAAATGAGAAGTAACAGGAGTTGGTGGTTTTTTTTTTCCTTTAAAACAAGTGAATAATTGTATTTGTGACGAATTACTATTTGTTGAACCAAATTTGAACATTTTGAATTGAATCATAAAGATGGGATGGTAGTGATGGAAGAGACTTTAATTATGAGTTTTGATGTAATGCCCCAAAATAAATACAACAAACTCATCTCATAAGCGAAAATATAATCGAATTAACATGCCTTCATTCATCAGAGTTGATATACAAAAGGTGACACATGCATTATACATTCATAAATGATTCATCCTGAATCTACAGTATGTGTTACAACTAATAATAAGAATGAAAGCTAAATAGCTATCCAAGGCCCTAAAGGCTTACATCTTTCCAAGACCGTGCTTGGTGACAACAAAATGAGTCATCGGCTTGATGCAAATAAAGCCCTAGGTTTGTACTAAAAGAAAATCTAAAATAAACAAAAGTGAGCCTTCAGCTCCCCAGTCCTCTCAAGCTAAGTCCTTGGCGGAGGCATATTACCAGCACTTGAAAATAGTTTTTCCCAAGTAGGGTGAGCCAAAACCCAGTAGAAACAATCTACCCCAATATATGAATCTTAATCTCCTTTTTAGCATCTCAATTCATGAGTTATTTTTATTTATTACAAACAATTAAATTGAGGATATAACTCAAATGTTCTCAAATCCACATAATCA